TTTTTGGTCTTTTTGAGACAGGGTCTCCCTGTAGCCCCAGCTGTCCTGGAACTCACTATGTAGACCAGGCTGGCATTGAACTCAGAGATCCGCTTGTCTCTGCCTCCCAAGTGCTGGGATTAAAGGCGTTCGCCACCACGCCCAGCTTATTTTTATTTTTAAATATTTTATTTATTATTTTTATGTGTATGAGTGTATCGCCTGCATGTATGTGAGTGCACCCGTGGCGTGCAATGCCGCAGGGGTCAGAAGAGGGCTTTGGATTCCCCTGGAACTGGAGTTAAGGACGGTTCATAGCCACCATGTGGGTGCTGGGAATCAAACCTGGGTCCTCAGCAAGAGCAGTCAGTACTCTTAACTGCTAGGCCACCTTTCCAGCCCCTTATTTATTATTTTTGTTTTATGCATATGAGTGTATTGCCTATATGTATGTAAGTGCACCCGTGTCATGCAGTGCCCACAGAGGTCAGAAGAAGGCGTTGGAATGGTTGTTAAGTTGCCGTGTGGGTGCTGGGAATAGAAGTCAGGTCCTCTGCAAGAGCAGCCAGTGCTCTTAACCAGTGAGCCATCTCTCCAGCCCCCTCCACTGTCTTTCAAAAATAATATTTTTTTTAGAAATAATGATTTGTATTTTATAATTTGTATATATTTGGTACTAATTTGAAATGATCTACAAATATTTGAGTTTATTTTTTTGGGACATGTTCTCACTATGAAGCATTGAACTAAATTCATTATGTAGATCAGGCTGGCCTTGAACTCACAGAGATCTGCCTGCCTCTGCCTCCTGAGTGCTGGGGTTAAAGGTGTATGCCACTATGTTCCATCTGAGTTTGTTTATTTTCATAAACCTTGTAGTTCATTTTAAAATCATTCCTCTGGAAAGTTTCCTTCCTACAGTAGGTCATGTACTCTCAGAAACCAGTGCCTAGTAAATATAATGGATCTTTTTTTTTGTCATTTTTTACAGATGAAACTCTCCTAATTAATATGATCTGTGGAGTAGTGTCAGGAGTGATTTCATCTACTATAGCCAATCCCACTGATGTTCTAAAGGTAAGAGAAGTGTCTGCCATGTGATTTGAAGCAGCACAAGCTTTAAGTTAGAGTTCGGATCCCTACACTATTCCCTGTTCTAAAACCTCCAGGAAATCCCTTAATTATTTGAAATCTCACTTCATTTTGAAATGAAGATAATGCAGTGCTTATAGTACAGAGTTGTTAAGAATTAGAAGTAATATACGCAACTGTCTAGCATTGTGTTTCATAGTAGATGCTCAAAAAATAGTTTAATGTGCTTAAAAATAGTTTTATATGCTATGCATTAAGCCGTTGGTCTGCAACCTGGGATCTGTAAGTCCGTATAAGGTTATTTTAAAGGTGTGTGTTTTAGGGAAATCAATTTCTAGATCGTTTACTCTCTCTGGAGGTCTGGGCCCCAGTCTGAGAATGAGTCTATATTTCTTAGAGCCCATTTCCCATTTTACAAAATCAAGGCAAACCCCTTTTCCAAATCTTCAGGTGCTATGTTGGCCTGTGCTATAAACTGGGATGTAAAGTGATAAGATTGAGGTAGATTTTTTGAGAAGTCTCTTTTAATAAATGTTTATCCTTAAATTTAAACCTTTTATGTCTTTGTTTTGTCCATTCTAGTAAGAATGAGTTTTGGCTTCAAATATGATGTTTTGATTTGTACTGATTTGATAAGGATTTCTTTAATGTTTTATCAAATCACAGAATCAATCACTTTTTTTTCTATTGTTCAACTTTTTAAGTTGAATTTTTATGAATTTCATTCAAAATATTTTTATTGTATTTAGATCCCCTTCCCTGTCTGCATCCCCTTTATTAGCCCCCTCTCCATTTTATCAGCCTTCAACTTTATTTCATAAATGGTAAATATTTCCCACTTATTAGTAAAGCATTAAATGTATGATTAAAACAAAACATGTGAGAGACTCTCAAGTTTGTTTCATTAATTATTTATTTAATACCTACATACTTAGAAGAAGCATTTCATTACAACAGCATTGACATATTCAGTAACAATTTCCTGAGCTAAGATGCATCTCTTTCAAAATTAACTGAAAATCAAGTTTGTTTTTTTAAGGAGGAATTTTATTTATTATTTATTTTGTATTTTAGTCAATTAAAAAAACTAAGATTTATTGTTTGTAAATAATTTTATTGATTCTTTACAACTTTCATACAATGTATTTTGATCATATTTAGACCCCTTCCCCCAGTTTGTTTTTTGTTTGTTTTTCTCTAGCCTTGAACTCACAAAGTAGCTGAAAATGACCTTGAATTCCTGATCCCAAGTGCTAGAATTACAAGTATGTGCAAACATACAGAGTGTGAACCTCAAGTTAAAAAAAAATACTTACAGGGTAGTGTGAGACAAAAATAAGAGGACTCATGCTTTATTTATTGCTTTATTATTCAGCAGGGTGAAGCCACAAGTGGGTAGGTTAGTGAAGAAATGATCTATTGTAATTCAGAGAGTTTTCAGAACCCATAAAGTGACTTGAAAAGTATGCACCTGAAGAAACCACTGGTGGATGCTGAAGAAGAATATTAAATAATTCTGTATCAGAGTGAGAATGATTTAACTACAGAACATACATCACTTTAGAGCTACAGAGTAAATATTTATGAAGAGAATTTACTGTATCCTGAAAGCTATGTAGAGTATTTGCAATAGAATTATACTTGTTAGAATGTGCTTTTTAGGAAAAAGAATACTTAATTCCCAGAAACTTCCTTTCTTATCCATCTGGATCCTAGACTTAATCATGTAAGCCATTGGGCTTCAACCTCTTGTCACTCTGACCTCTCTGGCAAAACTATAACCATTGACCACCTGCTGTTTCCTTCCTTTCTTTCTTTCTTTCTTTCTTTTATTTTATGATACCTGCACTTGAACTCCCAACCCACCTTTGTGTGTATATGGTCAGGGGGTATATGTATGAGTTTGTGTGTGTACATGGATGTGTGTGTATATAACCCACTGAGTACAATTAGGCTGACTACTTTTTGAGACAGGGTCTCTCTGTAGCCCCAGCTGCCCTGAAATCACTATGGAGACCAGGCTGGCCTTGAACTCACAGAGATCTGCCTGCCTCTGCCTCCTGAGTGCTGGGACTAAAGGCATGCGCCACCACGCCTGGCTTCTTCCTTTCTTGTACCTTCATAGGGTTGGGTGATGCTGGGCAGGAGGAGAGTCACAATTTTAGACTGTGGCTATGCCAGTGTGAATTATAAACATTGGGCTTTTCAGTTCTTTGACTTACATTAGACAACTTTATTCCTATCCTCGAGGGTGTTTTAAATCCTCAAGCCTTTTTTAAATCACTCATTCCCTTTTCTCTTAGCCCACAAGCCCACCTCCTATAACCATATCTTCTCCCTCTCATCTTCCTATCCTTTATATTTTTATTTATAAATTTGTTCACATGTATGAATATCTGTAGGTTATCCTGGCTGTAGCAGTTCTCAAAATGTTGTTTTCTGGACCTGCAGCATCAGCATTCTGGGAACTTGTTAAAAGTACAAGTTATGGAGTCCTGCTCTGCTAAATCTGAAAGGATGGGATGGGGTCCAGCTTGTTTTTTGAAAAACCCTCCAGGTGATTCTAATACTCAGTCAAGTTCACAAAACAGGACTGTTTCATGAGGAAACTTTATCATTTATTCTTTCTCCTGTGTCTTTGCCAGCTTCCTCTCTACTGGTTAGTTTCCTTCAAATGACAAATGTGTTCAAAGCTATTTATCCTAAAACACTTTCTTTTGACCCACTGATCTCCTAAAAATTCCATCTTTTTCCCCTTTATCCCATTTCACAAAAGAGTAGCTGTTCCCTTGATTCCTCCATAAGCTACTGTAATCATTTCTAGTACTTGAACAGAACGATGGTCCCCAGGGTTAGCAGCAATGTCCACATTATCCAATCCAGAGAGGACATTTTATTTTATTTAATTGATTTATTTTAATTTGATCTTTTTTTGAGACAGTGTCTCCCTGTAGCCCCAGCTGTCATAGAAATCGCTGTGTAGACCAGGCTGGCCTCAATCTCACAGAGATCTGCCTGCCTCTGCCTCCTCAGTGCTGGGACTAACTGTGTGCACCATCACACCTGGCCAGAGTGGACATTTTAGTTCTCATATTATATAACCTACTTTGACTAATTTCTCCTGCTTGAAATTTTCTTTGGTTTTGATTCTTTCCTTAGGTTTCAGACCCCTTGGTCTTGTATGGGGGTTTTTCTTTCTGCACATACCTTAGATCATTCTTTTCCCACTCAAAGTACCATCCTTGAGTCTTTTCCCTGGAATTGCTTTTGTACTCACTGTGTCATTTAGGGTATAGGCAAAGCTATAACAAAGCAACTAAAAAAATATAAGGGATCTAACAGTCTAGAGGAGAGCAGATAATGTTGGTAGGATGGTCCTGCTCCTGTTCTGTCCAGGACCCAGGGTCTTTCAGTTTTGTTGAACTTCCATCTCCTGCTTCAGGCCTGGCCATCTAGTCAGTAAACTGACTCTGGTTTGATATCTGTTATAAAGTTTCTTTCTTTTTAAAAAATTATTTATTTAATAACCACATAATTAGAAGAAGCATTTCATTACAACATCATTAACATAGTCAATAACAATTTCCAGAGCAAAGATGCATCTCTTTCAAAATTGGCTGTAAATTTTTAGGTTCACAGTTGAATTAATACAGTTATATAATATTGTACTCATTATAAACCCTGTAAGACATAAAATTGAGTGAGGTTTTAACCTTTAAAAAGATCTCCATTTCATTTTAGAATATATTGTTCCTTGCAGAAAGACTCATTGTTTTTGCTACTTAGATGTTTGCACATGTGTCTCTAATCTCTATATATCTGATTATTACTAGTCAGAGTCAGTTACTTTCTGAGATCCTTGGCACCTGAGCGTGGATATAAAGTCACCAGTGGTAATGTTTTTCACATCTACTAATTAACATGAAACAAATTTTTATGCTTCTTCCTCAAGTATAACTTATTTTTTTATTTATTGATTTTTTGTGTGTAGTTTCATACAGAATATCCCAAACAATCTTACTCATCTTTATACTCGCATCCCAAATGGCACCCTCCCATAGCTCCCCCCCCCCGACTGGAGCCCATATACTCTGTCATCCTTGTTACTGTCCACTATGTTGTCAGTGCCCCCAGCCGTTCCCCAGTGCTTGTCCATCTGCTGAGTCTAGTCAGCCTATCTAGAGTTCCTTGTTTTAGGAAGATCAGCTCTTCCTCATCTAGCAGCAAGCAGTTGCTAATATTCCTTTAGATAAGATTGGACTGTTCCTTTTCTCAGTTCTATGCTGGGTTAATAAAGTTTCTTTTTATGTGTATGAGTGTTATGCCTGCATGTATGTCAGTGCATCTTTGTGGTGCAGTGCCCGTGATGGACAGAAGAGGGAGTCGGATCCTGTGGAGCTGTAGTTACTGATGGTTCTTAGCTGCCATGTGGGTTCTGGGATTCAAATTCAGGTGCTCTGCAAGAACAATCAGTGCTCTTAACTGCTGAGCCATTTCTCCAACCCTAAAGCTTTATTGGAACGCAACTACCCTATTTGTTTCTTATTATGTAGGGTGGCTTTGGTGCTATGGTAGCAGAACTGAGTAGTTGTGACAGGGGACCTAAATCCTATAAAGCCAATATATTTACTTACCTGGCCCCATACAGAAAAAGCACTGACCTAAATTCTGTGATACTATGTGTGTATGTATGATGTGTATGCATATATGTTCATGAGTGTGTATGTGTGTGAAGGCCAGAGGTCACCATTGACTATCTTTCTCACTTGCTCTCTAGTTTCTGAGACAGGGCCTCTCACTGAACCTGAAGCTTACTGATTTGGCTATGCCTGTCTTTTTATGTGAGTGTTGGGGATCTAAGGTCAGGTCTTCATGCTTGTGCAACAAGTACTTTACCAACTGAGCCATCTACCCAGCTTCAGTATTGTTTTAAGCTGTATAGTTGAAGTCGAGCTGCCATGATATATGTATTCCAGCCCAAAGGAAGGCAGAGTCAAGGGAAAGTGACTTTTTCTGTTTTGTCAAAAGTAAAATCAGATTTTAGGAAAAATTTTGTACAAGTCTTTGTATGTATGTGCATATGTGGCTGTGCAGGTAGAAGACAGAGGTTGATGTCAGGTTTCTTCTTCAATTGCTCTTCACTTTATGTTTTGAGACAGAGTCTCTCACTGAATCTGGAACTCACTGACACGACTAGACTGGCTGGCCAGCAAGCCCCAAGGATCCTCCTGCCTCTCCCTTCTGAATGCTGAGATTACAGGCACAAACTACCATGCCTGGCATTTTACATGAGTTTTGGAGTGTTGAACTCAGTTCTTCATGCTTGTAGTGTAAGCAATTTAGCAACTGAACCATCTTTCCATTCCCAAGTTAGGGAATTTCTTCAAGATTTATTTTTATTATTTTAAATTATGAATATGTGTATATAGGTTTGTGTACATGAGTACAGGTGCCCATAGAGGGTAGAGGTGTCAGGTCTCCCTGGAGCTGGAATTGCAGCTGTTATAAACTGCCTGATATGGGTGCTGGGAACCAAACTCTGGTCCCCTGGAAAAGCAGTATGTACTCTTAGTTACTGAGCCATCTCTCCAGCACCCCAAATTAGAGTATTCTCTTTGTGATATTTTTGGCAGTGCTGGAGATTGAACCAAGGGCCTTCAACATGCTAGCAAGTGCTCTACCACCGAGCTACCTATCCCCATCTATAAATTAGGTCAAAATTTTATTTCGTTTTATTTTATTTTATTTTATTTTATTTTACTTTATTTTTTTGGTCTTTTTGAGACAGGGTCTCTCTCTAGCCCCAGCCGGCCTGGAACTCCCTATGTAGACCAGGCTGGCCTTGAACTCAGAAATCTGCCTGCTTCTGCTTCCCAAGTGGTGGGATTAAAGGTGTGTGCCATCACGCCCAGTCTAGGTCAGAATTTCTGTTTGTTTTGCTGTTAGAGAAAGTATAAATCATGATCCAGGAGAATTCAAACCAAGTGGTAAGATACCTTACAGCAGTTATAGTAGAGTTTATTGCATATAAAAGAATCCTCATTCTTCAGAATCTACAGAGGTATTGCTTCTAGGACCCCTTCCCCACCTCTGTGAATACCAAAATCCTTAGATGGTCATTACATAAAATGGGATAAGATTTGCAAATAACGTATGTGTATTCTCCCATATACTTTAAATCATCTTCATATTGCTTATAATGCTTAATATAATATATATGTAGTTATAATATTATTCCAGAAATAGTAAAAAAAAGGTCTATATATGTATATATGTTCAGGTACAAATACAATTTTTAAAAGTATTTTTGATTGGTGATTGGTTGAATCCACAAATATAAAACTGCTGACAATTTTCATCATTTGTTGGAGAGGGGGATTGAGACAGGGGCTCCCTGTAGCTGCAGCAGGCCTGGAACTTGCTCTGTAGACCAGACTGGCTTCGATCCCACAGAGATCTGCCTGACTCTGCCTACCGAGTGCTGGGATTAAAGGCCTGTGCCTGGCTTCATCATATTTTGATTGGTTGCTATAAATTATTCTTTCTTTAAAATTAAATTTTATTGTTGTGTATATGTGCACACAGGCACATGACTCTCTCTCTCTCTCTCTCTCTCTCTCTCTCTCTCTCTCTGTGTATGTGTTAAGTCAGAGGACAACTTTTGGAAGTCAGTTCTCTCTTTCTACTGTCTATCACATATAGGTTGCCATCCTTGTGCATTACCCACTGATCTATGTTGACAGTCCCTAAATTATCATTATTTATAAGGCAAACATAGGTGGTTAGACTAATGTGTCTATAATGGGTTTGTTTCATTTCTCTGAATCTTTTTTTCTGAATCATTTTTATAAGGATATAAAGCTTACATTTTGTGTTTCTGATTAGTTTGTTGGGGAAATCAGAATAACTTAAATTTTGAGTGCGGGGTGGCAGACCTTGGAGTTTATCTTTTACTATGGCCTCCATTTTTAACTTTAGCAGTGTAAATCTATGCAATTTTGATAACAATTTCAAACATGCGAAAATAGAGAACAGGAATCACCTCATTGAAGAGGCTTTTTTTTTCCTTTTTGAGGCAGGGTTTCCCAGTAGCCTGGCTGGCCTGGAACTCACTATGAAGACCAGGCTGACCTCAGTCTCACAGAGATCCTCCTGCCTCTGCCTTCTGAGCACTGGGACTAAAAGCACGCACTGCCATGTCCACCTAAGGTCTTCCTCTTAACTTGGGTAGTTTTGATTTAACCCTGTGATAGTTTACATATTGATTTAATTGGGATAGGTACTTATTTTGAAACTCTTAGTGGTAGCAGTGAACTTTTTATATAAAAACATGCTGATGTTATGTACTTAATAAGAATGTTTTTCTGAAAGCTAGAATGGTAGAGTGCTTCATGAAAATCAGGCTTACATTTGGGCTGCTAGTATTTAGTGACTGACTACTGTGGTTTTGTGTATTTAGAATCTGTGGGAGAGTATATTAAGTCTTTTCTATGACAATTTAATGCTGTATTTCCTTTTTTGCAGTTCTGAAAGGCCACTTGGCAGAATATAACATGCTTTTAGCAAATAAAACTCAATTTAAGGTCTTGTAAACATAAAACTATATTTTAAAACATTTTTGTTTTCTATAATTACATAAGCAATGCATGTCCAAGGTAGAAAGAAATGGAAGGCAGAAAAACACAAAAGAGAAACATGCTCATTTCTAGAGTCACCATTCAGACATAAACCTCTGTCAATATTTAGGTATGTATGTTCATCTAGTCTCCTTGCTATATTATTATTTTCAATTTACCTGTTTTTAGTAAGAAGTATTATGTGTACTACTTTGCAACACCTGTTTAGCAATAAAATTTTGACATTTTCCAATGTCTACTAATATTTTAGGGGAACTTTATGGTTCCATAGTATTCTGTTAAATGGATATGTCATAACTTATATAACCAATATTTTGTTATTGTTTTTGGACATTTAAGTTCCTAGTTTTTCACTAAACTAATTATATTTTAAGAATTATTTTATACTTTTACTGAATACTTGTTCTTTTCTTCAGATTTTCTTCCAACTCCAGAAATGATAGCTTTAGTGTGAGGAATGTGAGGCCAATGAAAATTTTTTAGAAATACACTCTGGCACAGATTTTATTTCTGCCTACAATTTAACTCATAAATTTCATCATAATAACAGAGATTTTTTTTTAGAACTCCGAAATACTTTTTCTTAACTTTAAATAGGTGAGATATCTTATTTTCATTTTTCTCTGTCAAAATAAAATGTCCACCATTTTTTGTTTTAGATTCGCATGCAGGCTCAAGGAAGTCTGTTCCAAGGAAGCATGATTGGCAGTTTCATTGATATATACCAGCAAGAGGGCACCAGGGGCCTATGGAGAGTGAGTGTTTTTTCCCTGGTATTGTTCTATATTCTATAGACTTGAATTTTTAGATTAAGCCATGAAATAGTGATTTATAACCCCAAGCAAGGTAAGAAACTACTTGTCGTCTATGAAAGGACCAAAACTTACCAGTGATTCCTATTTCAACATAATGTTTGATGATTATATTTATGAGAAAAATGATTATATTATTTGAGCTAGCCATTTTGATTTGTTAGAATTCACAGTGCATTTAGTTTTTCACTATAGTTTTGTACCAAACACAGCAATGTTTATCTATGATGGTTTCTTAGTGCTTATGTTCGAAGGTTATCTATGGCAATGTTTTCAGCCTTATTAAATGTGAAAGATGTACTATAAAATACACAAAATATAAAGAACATTGTAATAGTCCTACCACGTAGAGATAACCCCTGTTAATGTTTTGTCATGATCTTCTAGTCTATATTTATTTCTCGCTTTTTGCTGGCATTGCTGCAATATTTTTTGTTCTTGTTTTATTTTGAGATATGGTCTTAGTAAGTAGCCCAGGCTGACCTGGAACTCCTCTCTGTTCCGCCATACCTGACTTCTGTTGCAAAAACTTTTTTTAAAATGCCATTTTT